TCAAGACTGGATTCGTCACTATAGTGCAGGATCAGTACAATACGATTTAGGACAGGGTATACCCCAAAACATTTGGCTACCTGTGGTGAAGAAGCAAAGTAAAGCTGCATAATATCCAAAACCAGGCATGTTATTTAGGCAGGTGAGGCAGCAAATCCCACAATCACCCCTCCTTCATCCCTGAGGATAATGTGACAAATTAAATAACTAACAATTTGCTTTCCTTTCATGACTGCCAAAATTTGCTAGCTGAGACCACACTCTCTCTCTCTCTCCATTGATAGGGTCAGCCCTGGTTTAAGTTCCAATGCATTGGCAGCAGTGGCAGAGGCGGCCGGGGGGGGGGGGGGGGGGGGGGGGCTGAGGATGCTAAAGCACTGCTAGAGGAGGGAGCAAGCTTGTTTTCTGCTGCCCTGGAGAACAATGGCTTCAAACTACAGGAAAGGAGATTCCACCTGAACATGAGGAAGAACTGACTGTGAGAGCTGTTCAGCAGTGGAACTTTCTGCCCCGAAGTGTGGTGGACGCTCCTTCTTTGGAGGCTTTTAAATAGAGGTTGGATGGCCATCTGTGGAAAGTGCTTTGAATGCGATTTACCTGCTTCTTGGCAGGAGGTTGGACTGGATGGCCCATGAGGTCTCTTCCAACTCTATGATTCTATAATTCTATTATTCTTAAACTATGGATCCCAACCCCAAATTAGCTCAAAATTGGAGTCATGAAAAATTCAGCACTAATAAACGGTTTCTAAACACCACTCACTTACACATGTTAGCAACATCATGCTTCATCTGTACTTCACCAAAAAAAAGTTTATTTAGCAAGCCTTGCAAATGCTGGTTTATTATGTCCAGGGTGGGAGAAAGAACTCTTCTCTGCTTGAGGCAAGTGTGAATGTTGCAATTGGCCACACTGATTAGCATTTAATGTCCTTGTAGCTTCAAAGATTGGCTCGTTGCTACCTGGGGGGATCCTTTGTTGGGAGGTGTTAGTTTGTGGCAACCACAGAAACAAAGTGTCTGGAGTGCAACTACTTTCAAAGGAAGTACCAAACAATTAAACAAGAAATAACACTTTCAAACCAGGAACATTTTTTTCAAACTTTGTTACATAGTGCTATCAGTAAATGTTTGATTTGTAGACCTATGTTATATAAGTACTTAGGGTAATGTAAAAATTTATTGAAGGAGGAGGGGATTGCGAATGGGAAAAGTTTAAGAAGCGCAGTCCTAGAGGGCTGGTTTTGAAATATTATATATGGGACTGCTATGCATGTGGATTTAATATTGACTGACAGCTTACAGATAGACTGCTGTGAGTTTTCTGGGTTGTATCACCACATTCCAAAAGCATTCTCTCCTGTTGTTTCACCCATATCTACAGCATGCTTCCTCAGAGGTTTTGAGATATATTGGAAACTAAGCAAATGAGGTTTATTTATCTGTGTAACATCCAGGATGGGAGAAAAAACTCTTGTCTGCTTTAGACAAGTGTGAATATTGCAACTGGCCACCTTGATTAGCACTGAATGGCCTTGCGGCTTCAAAGCCTGGCTGCTTCCTGCCTGGAGGTCCTTTGTCGAGAGGTGTTAGCTGGCTCTGATTGATTCTTGTCTGGAATTCCCCTGTTCTCCTCAGCAAAGGATCCCCAGGCAGGAAGCAGCCAGGCTTTGAAGCTGCGAGGTGAACTATAACTCCAAAACTCAAGGTCAATGCCCACCAAACCCTTCCAGTATTTTCTCTTGGTCATGGGAGTTATGTGTGCCATGACTGGTTCCATTCCATCCTTGGTGGAGTTTCGAATGCTCTTTGATTGTAGGTGAACTATAAATCCCAGCAACTACAACTCCCAAATGACAAAAACAATCCTCCCAACCCCACCAGTAGTCAAATTTGGGTGTATTGGATATTTGTGCTAAATTGGGTCCAGTGAATACATCCTGCATATCAGATATTCACATTACGATTCATAACAATAGCAAAATTGGGTTGTTGTAGGTTTTTTCGGGCTATATGGCCATGTTCTAGAGCAGTGGTTCTCAACCTGTGGGTCCCCAGATGTTTTGGCCTTCAACTTCCAGAAATCTTAATAGCTGGTAAACTGACTGGGATTTCTGGGAGTTGTAGGCTAAAACACCTGGGGACCCACAGGTTGAGAACCACTGTTCTAGAGGCATTCTCTCCTGACGTTTCACCTGCATCTATGGCAAGCATCCTCAGAGGTAGTGAGGTCACCTCACTACCTCTGAGGATGCTTGCCATAGATGCAGGCGAGACGTCAAGCAAGAATGCCTCGAACATGGCCATATAGCCCAAAAAACCCGACAACAACCCAGTGATTCTGGCCATGAAAGCCTTCGACAATACATAGTAGCAAAATTAGTTATGAAGTAGTGTCAGATTTGGTCCAGTGAATGGAAATACATCCTGCATATCAGATATTCACATTACGATTCATAACAGTAGCAAAATTAGTTATGAAGTAGCAACGAAAATAATTTTATGGTTGTGGTGGGGTCACCACAACATGAGGAACTGTATTAAGGTGTCATGCATTAGGAAGGTTGGGAAAAACTGATCTACAGGCAATGGCTGGGGAAATTATTTTTGGACTACAACTCCCAGTATTTCCAACTCCTGTAGAGGATTCCGGATTGTACAGGTCCCAAGCTCTCCTAATGTGGATATAATTCTTCCTTCTTCTCCAGAATGTTGTGATCAGTCACCTGATATAAATCTTAAACATGCCACTCTAATGCCAGGATGATGACCTCGACTCTCCCAAGGGATTCCATAGCATCAAGCTATGTGGTTGGATACTATAGCTTAGGCCTGGGCCAACTTGGGCCTTCCCTCCAGGTGGTTTGGACTTCAACTCCCCACCATTCCTGCTACGGGCCTGGTGGGAGCTGAAGTCCAAAACACCTGGAAGGAAGGCCCAAGTTGGCCCAGGCCTCTTCCAGGGATGGCGCCGCTCGCGCCGCCACGTGCGCCAGGCAAATAGGCAGCAAGCAGGCAGGAAGGCAGACCTCCCGCCGCCGCCGCTGCTCTACGCGAGGCGCCCCACCCTACGAGGCCCAGGTGTGGACGCCTGCCGTCCACCCGCGCCTCTCCTTCCCATTCTACCAGCTTTTGCCCCCGAGCCGGACATACACATACACACACACATCCCCCCCCTCTAAAATGAAATGGAATCACCCAAACCCATCTTTTTCTCTCGAACATGGGCGGTTCCTTTCGGCGCCTCAGGGGGGTGTTTACTAGGTGCCCTCGTGCCCCCCCCCCCCCCCCCCGCATTGCTAAGAGGTACGGTCCATAATCTCTACTCCTTTTCCGCCTCCTTTGAAATGGAATAGACCAATTTGCCTCAGCATTGAGGGCCCTTCCACATAGAATATCAAGGCAGGAAATCCCATAAGATCGTCTTTGCAGTAGAATATATGGCAGTGTGGACTCGGATAACCCAGTTCAAAGCAGATCTTGTGGGATTTCCTGCCTTGATATTCTGGGATATAGGGCTGTGTGGAAGGGGCCTTCGTCTTGGGCATATCATCGCACACCCCTTTGTGGGGAAATAACACTTATCCCTCTCTCCCCTATAAAACGAAATGGAATCGCCCAAGGCACCCCTATCTCCCTCACCTTTGGGCCCTTCCACACAGCCCTATATCCCAGACATTATCTGTTTTGAACTGGAATATGGCAGGGTGGACTCAAATAACCAAGTTCAAAGCAGATATTGTGGGTTACTCTGTCTTGATATTCTAGGATATAAGGCTGTGTGGAAGGGCCCTTCTACACTGCCATATAATCCAGAATATCAAGGCAGAAAATCCACATTATTTGCTTTGAACTGGAGAGCCCTTCAACACAGTCATATAACCATAAATATCAAAGGAGAAAATCCCACAATATCTGCTTTGAACCGGTTTTTTGGCCCAATATATGTATATGTTTTGTATGTGTATATGTGTGTATATATTTGTGCATATGTGTTTGTGTAGATATATATATGTGGTTTTGCGCATGCGCTGTCATGTATTTTTTTATTTTTGGCTTTTTAAGTCCCTTCCACTGTGTTTTTCAGTGTTTTTATGAGCGATGGTCACTCATTGGCCTGATAGATATATTGTGTCCAAATTTGGTATCAATTCATCCAGTGGTTTTTTTTACAGTTTTATGTATATATACTAGCTGTTCCCGGCCACACTTTGCTGTGGCCTCAGTCTGGTTCTCTACCCCTTTCTTTCCTCCCCCCTTTTACTGTCCCTCCCTCTTTCTCTTCCTCCATCTCTACCTCTTACTTTCCTTCCCTCCTTCCCTATTTCCCTCCTTCCACCCTTCTCTCCATCCTTCCTTCCTTCAGTCTTTCTATCCTTCCTTCCTTCCATCCCTTCCTCCCTCCAGAACAGTCACTTTTGTGCATGTGCTGTAACATCTTTTTGCTTTTTTGTGTTTTTAAGTCCTTACCACTTCGTTTTTTGGTGTGTTTTTTTTGAGTGATGGTCACTTGTTGGCCTGATAGGTGTCTTGTGTCCAAATTTGGTGTCAATTCGTCCAGTGGTTTTTGAGCTATGCTAATCCCACAAACAAACATGACATTTTTATTTATATAGATTACACACACAAACACATATATACCCAGGGCCCTTCCACACAGCCCTAAATCCCAGAATATCAAGGCAAAAAAATCCCACATTACCTCTCATTCTCTCATATATGTGTGTGTGTGTGTGTATCCATATCCATATCCTAGTATATATCCTAATATATTTCCATATATATAATACATATATTAGGAAATAACGCCCCCCCCCCCAATTAAATGGAACCCTCCAAGCCCATTCTCTTCTCTGTATCCTCGGCGGTTCCTTTCTGCGCCCCGGGGGTGTGCCCGCTTGGTTACCCACATTTCCAACAGGCGGTGTGTTTGGCTCCTCGCGCTCCCCTCCCTCCCTCCCTCCCCCTCGAAATGGAATGGAATCACCCAAGGCGCCTCACCTCGGCGTTCGCGGGGACGGTTCCTTTCTGCGCCCCGGGGGTGTCCCCTTGGAGTGGCCCGGCCGGCGGCGCGGGACTAGCGCGGGCATGGGCGGAGAGGGGGCTCCGCGGCGCGGCGGGGTTCGGGAGGCGCCGCCGCGGCCGAGCTGCCTGCGCGAACCTCTCCTCCTCCTCCTCCTCCTGGGTGCATGCTCAGGCCGGCTGCCAGGGGCGGCGTGTGGCTACACATCCCCGCTCCCTCCCTGGGACATTCCGCCTCCTCCTCCGCCTCCTCCTCGCGCAGCCTGGCTTGCCGCGCGGCACGAGCAGAGGAGCCGAGAGAGAGAAGAGCCCCCTCCTCCCTCTTTCCCCGCCTTGCTCACCTCTCACCTGCGATCCTTCAGCCCAGACTCAGGGAAAGAGGGAAGGAGGGAGATGGAGAGCAGCAGAGGCGCCTTGCCATGAACCCGGACCAGCGTTGGCGCCTCCTCCTCCAATTCCTCCTTCTCTCTCTCTCACTCAGAGCCAAGCCAGGACTTCGTTCCTCTCTTCTCCCGCCTTCCACCACACTCTGAGGCAGAGAGTTCCACTGCTGAACAGTTTGTGCAGTCAGGAAGTGCTTCCTAATCTTCAGGTGGAATCTCCTGTCGGCAAAAGTATGATAACTAGGACCCAATGCCAAGACAGCGCAACGAATGAGAGACGCAGGTGCGACAAAGTCATAGAATCATAGAGTTGGAAGAGACCTCATGGGCCACCCAGCCCAACCCCCTGCCAAGAAGCAGGAAAATTGCATTCAAAGCACCCCTGACAGATGGCCGTCCAGCCTCTGTTTAAAAGCTTCCAAAGAAGGAGCCTCCACCACATTCTGGGGCAGAGAGTTCCATTGCTGAACGGCTCTCACAGTCAGGAAGATCGTCCTCATGTTCAGATACAATCTCCTTTCTTGTAGTTTGAAGCCATTATTGCGAGTCCCAGTCTCCAGGGCAGCAGAAAATAAGCTTGCTCCCTCCTCCCTATAGCTTCATCTCACGTATTTATACATGTCTCCTCTAAGCCTTCTCTTCTTCATGCTAAACATGCCCAGCTCTTTAAGCCACTCCTCATAGGGCTTGTTCTCCAGACCCTTGATCATTTTAGTCGCCCTCTGGACACATTCCAGCTTGTCAATATCTCTCTTCAATTGTGGGGCCCAGAATTGGACACAATATTCCAGGTGTGGTCTAACCAAGGCAGAATAGAGGGGTAGCATGACTTCCCTGGATCTAGACACTATATCCAGCTCTTTAAGACGCTTCTCATAGGGATTCATGGTCACCAGACCTTTGATCATTTTAGTCGCCTTCCTCTGGACACCTTCCAGCTTCTCAATATCTCTTTTGAACTGTGGCGTCCAGAACTGGACACAGCATTCCAGGTGAGGTCTAACCCAAGCAGAACAGAAAGACACCATGACTTCCCTTGATCTAGACCACTGATTCCCAGCCTTTTTTTGACCAGGGACCACTCTCCAACATTAGTACCAAAAGGGTTACAAATCGGTTTTTGGTCAACTGTAAATTCGGTTTGGTTATTTGGGGCATGGATTCAGAAAATTGCATTGGATAGACCACATCAGCTCTAGTTTCTGATACAGAACACATGCCATCCTGTAGTTGCCATCTGATCTCCCACAAAAACCATGTTTAATAATCTAGATCTGATGTGATAGTAGTAATATTTCGTGGGTAGTCAGTCTCTCCCCTCCCGACATCCCCGTTGCCTCAGCACTATAAGAGGGTTTCGCTAGACTAGTTGCTCTCATTGCCACATGGTTTCGAGGCAACAGTGTAGTAAAGTGAGGCCGCAGACCACATTTTTGTTCTTGTGAACCACTGGTGGTCCATGGACCACAGGTTGGGAACTAGTTATGTAGGCACTATGCTCCTTTTAATGCAGCCCAAAATCCCATTGGCTTTTTAAGCTACTGCTCCTGCATCACACTGTTGGCTCGTATTGAACTTGTTGTCCACAAAAACTCCAAGATCTATTCACATGGACTTTGAGGGCCAGGTATTAATTTTTTTACATAGCAGTCTTTCATTTCTCGCCAGTTTGGGTCTCCAGATGTTACTGACCAAGTCCATGACATGAGAGTGTGGAGAACAGCAAACCACAGACCACCTACTACAATGTAACCTGAGCCCTGCCACATGCACAGTGGAGGACCTTCTTATAGCAACACCAGAGGCATTTCAAGTGGCCAGCTTCTGGTCAAAGGGCATTTAGTATAATACAAAGTTTTTAACTTTGTTTCTGTTTTTAAATACATTACAACTGTACCCTCAATTTGCTTCTGACACAATAAATAAATACTGACTGACAGCTCCCATCACTTCTGATTATCTGCCATGCAGACTGGGGATGATTGCAACCCAACTGCATTAATAATTGTGGGAAGATTAAAAGCTATTTTAATTGCAGGCATCATCTCCAAAAGGCTGATATCTAAATTCAAACCCCATTTTTGTGACTAAATAGAACAAACTGCAACCTCTGGATGTCATGTATCACAACTCCCATCAGCTCTCATCATGGTGTCTAATCACCATGTCAAAGTCAGCTGGATGGCAGTTAAGGACAATCTCCATCCTGCCCCATTTGCAAACCTCTTGGAGGCTTCTGTTGGCACTGGCAGCCACGTTCAGGCTTTGGGCTTGCAAATCTTGTCTTCTATGTAGGTCAGAGGAGGTGGAAATAGGTCTTTGCACTCTGCAAAGGAATACACCAGTTATAGTCCAGCATGACATGGCTGGCCAGATTTGGCAGGCATCTTTGAGTTTGATACAAGTGAGGTAGGTCCTTCTGCCAAAGAGGGTGGTGCCTCAACAAGCTGCTTCCATTGCTCTATACTAGTCAGGCGTTGGGATATCAAACTACATTTATTCTATAGTTTAGATCAGGCATGGGCAAACTTCGGCTCTCCAGGTGTTTTGGACATGAATTCTTTATTATTTATTTATTTCCAATATTTCTATCCCACCCTTCTCAACCCCGGGGGGGGGGGGCTACAATTCCTAACTACAATTCCTAACAGCCTACTGGCAATTCCTAACAGCCTCAGGAAAAGGAAAGGGCTTGAGATTGTTATGAATTGTGGGAGTTGAAGTCCAAAACACCTGGAGGGCCAAAGTTTGTCCATGCCTGGTTTAGATGCACCCTCAGCCATTGCTTCCACCCTGATTTCCCCAGACTTGGAAAGTTCTACCACAGGCACACACCCCACACACAGAGGGAACTTGGAGAAATTAGTTGGTGAAGAGAGTACAACTTCCGTAATGCTCCAGCCAGCATGGACATTGGAGACGTGGTCCAAAACAGTTACTTTCCCCAGATTCTGTGCTGAAAGATAACTTCAGATGGACATCTACAAGTCTGCAAGATCTGAGTGGGAATGTTGAAGATCAGGAGGCTTGGAGATCTCTCATTCACTTTAAGTCAAAGTCAGCTGGATGGCAGTTAAGGACAACAATTGCCATCCCACCCCATTTGCAAACCTCTTGGAGGCTTCTGTTGGCACTGCCAGCCACTTTCAGGCTTTGGGCTTGCAAATCTTACCTTCTATGTAGGTCAGAAGAGGTGGAAATATGTCTTTGCACTCCGCAAAACAGCCCTATGGCATCCCCCATTAGTAGGAATGTCACAACCCTCTTAAAATACTTTATCTGATTGGGGCATCTGGGCAAAACATCCTCAAGTCTGAGATGAGAAGGCTATAGAGCAGGCATGGGCAAACTTGGGCCCTCCAGGTATTTTGGACTGCAACTCCCATCATTCCTAACAGCCTCAGGCCCCTTCCTTTCCCCCCTCAGCCGCTTAAGCAACTGAGGGGGAAAAGGAAGGAGCCTGAGGCTGTTAGGAATGATGGGAGTTGCAGTCCAAAACACCTAGAAGGCCCAAGTTTGCCCATGCCTGCTATAGAGAATAAAAGTTTTTGCACAATGCTTTGGCTACAATGGCAATTTTCAACAGATACAGAGACAAGCATGGCAGGTACCATTTCAGTGTAGCAAACCAAATGGCTTTTCTCTGCCTTGTTACAGGGTGGTAACTTGAGAGTTTCTCTCCCTTATGCACCTCCCCAAACTCTGATGTGTGTGCGATGCTTAAGGTTCATTCATTGGACTTGGAAATCAGAAGAACTTTGAGGATTTTGCCTCCCAAAGTTAAGCACAGCTTCTGAAGGTTCGTTTTCAGGACAAGCCCTTCACCCAGGTTTAGCCCAAAGACAGAAAAAGAACAGAAGCAGGAAAACTCTTCTGCTTCCTAATAAAATTCTGAATTTTCGGGGGGAAATAGCTACCCAGAAACCAAGGAAAGAAGAAGTTAGCTCAAGAGAAGGCTTTTCCTCAGGGAGGGTTGTTGTACTACTCAGTCTGTCTTCATCTCACTCTTATTAGGCAAAGTACTTTTTTTTTTTTACTTCGTAGGAGAGATCAAGCCTAAGACGAGAGACTTAGAAGAGCTTATATGAGATCCCCTGGCATGTTTCATGACTTGCTTCGCCTGTTATTGTACATCCCCAAGACATTTATTGAACTAATTAGCTGGAAGTTCAAAACAGGGAAGCTCCTTGTGTTTGCAATCATAAGAACGCAATGAATGCAAATATATCTGTCAATGAAGAACACATTGGAGGGGAAGAACCAAGCTAGGAAGGGATGCAAGGGATGAGTTTCCACCTCATTCTATCCGCTGCTCCCTCCAGTGGTGTAGCAGTAAATGGCAAAGTGCCGGAGACTTGACAGGCTTCTTAGCTATCTCTTAAATCAGTGTTTCTCAACCTGGGGGTCAGAACCCCTGGGGAGGGGGGGGGGGTCACAAGGGGGTGTCAAAGGGGTCATCAAACACCATCAGAAAACACTATTTTCTGTTGGTCATGAGGGTTCTGTGTGGGAAGTTTGGCCCAATTCTATCGTTGGTGGGGTTCAGAATGCTCTTTGATTTTGGTGAACTATAAATCCCAAATGAACAACTCCCAAATGTCAAGTCCATTTTCCCCAAACTTCACCAGTGTTCACATTTGGGCATATCGAGTATTCAGGCCAAGTTTGGTCCCAATCTATCATTGTTTGAGTCCCCAGTGCTCCCTGGATGTAAGTGAACTACAATGCCCACCAAACCCTTCCAGTATTTTTTGTTGGTCATGGGAGTTCTGTGTACCAAGTTTGGTTCAATTCCATCATTAGTGGAGTTCAGGATGTTCTTTGATTGTACGTTAACTATCAATCCCAGCAACTACAACTCCCAAATGACAAAATCAATCCCCCCTCCCACAACCTCACCAGTATTCAAATGTGGGTGTATCGGGTGTTTGTGCCAAATTTGGTTCAGTGAATGAAAATAAATCCTGCATATGGGATATTTTCATTATGATTCATAACAGTAGCAAAATTACCATTATGAAGTAGCAGCAAAAATAATTTTATGGCTATGGGTCACCACAACATGAGAACCTGTATTAAGTGGTCACGGCATTAGGAAGGATCTCCCAGTGGCGCAATGGGTTAAACCCTTGTGCTGGCAGGACTGAAGACCGACAGGTCGGAGATTCAAATCCAGGGAGAGCGCAGATGAGCTCCCTCAGTCAGCTCCAGCTCTCTATGTGGGGACATGAGAGAAGCCTCCCACAAGGATGGTAAAACATAAAAAACATTCGGGCGTTGCCTGGGCCTTGCAGATGGCCAATTCTCTCACACCAGAAGCGACTTGCAGTTTCTCAAGTCATTTCTGACACGGAAAAAAAATTAGGAAGGTTGAGAAATACTGCTCTACCAGCTGCTCCCTCCAGTGGTGTAGCAGTAAATGGCGAAGCACCAGTGACTTGATAGGCCTCTTAGCCATCCCTTAAAGTAGTTAAAAATGCAGATAGCTGTATTAAACTGTATCACCAACAAACCATTGTAGTAGCATTAATCCTTAATAAGATTAGGTCTTGATTCAGCACCAAGTCACCCCATAAATAATACCTTGCATTACAAGGAGGATGGCTCAAAACAACACATCGTTATTGGGAGAAGCGGTTTTCCCCTCAACGCTGCTGAGTAACTCACAGCTAAGCCCTTAGGGAACATCAGAACCTGAGAGCATGGGACACTGTCTTGGATAATCCCAAAATCATGTCTTTTTGATCCTTGGGAGTCCTGATTCCACTACACCACTGGATGCTTTCTTGGCAAGCGCCCCTCTGCTACTGCTATCCCCAAGCATACATAAAATACCTTATAAAATCATCTGCTGCCGCTTGCCTTTCTTCTGTTGGCCAAAAGGATCCTTGGAGGCAGAGACGCATCAATGGCACCATGCCGATGCAGGAATCTGATTATTTGATGGCATCTCTCTTGCCTCCACAGTCATTCCCCAAGGCAAAGAAAAAATTGAATACTTTGCTGATCAGAAACTTGGTGAGACGTCCTCCATAGTCCTAATGAGCATTGGGGAGCATGTGTCCTTGCAGTGTGTGGGGCAGGGGGGAATGAACAGTGGGAGCCAGCTGGAGAGAGACTACAAACCCCACTGAGCTGCCAACTCAAATTAATATCTCATAAATTGGGATTTACTCCAGGTCAGTCTCGAGCAAAAACACACAGGGCTAAAGTCATTGCCAAGTAGGACTTTATGAAGTGAAGCAAATGTTCTCTCCAAACATCCACCCACATGGCTCCCTCCCGCCTGCTTTCCCCCATTCCACCTAGGCAGCCTGCAGCAATGTAACCCAATGCCCTCCTATTGTTTCTCCTTCCTTGTGGTCTATATTTGACTCTGCAGCCACACTGTTTATATATGTGTGTGTGCGCAGGGGTGTGTATGCACGTGTGTGCATACATTTTGGTATTCAGCGCTTCATTCCCTAGATGCCCAGGATTGCTTACAAATAGCTTCCATGGACAGAGGTGTGTGTGTGTGTGTGTGTTAGAGAGAGGGGAGGGGGACAGAGTGGGCAACAGTGAAATCTGCATGTGTTTCTTCCTTGATCATTTCCCCTATCTGTAGTGCTTGATTGTATTTAAATACCATATCTGCAATGTAAGAAACAGTTTCCTTTTAACCAGATCCCTTTTTGAAACCAACTAAGGAAATATAGAAGAGACTGTGTGTTGTGGGACAAAGCTACTTCTGCTATCTTTTTGCAGCATGCGTGCACACATATACACACACGCACATTCTGGTTGGGATTATGTAGGTTAATCTATGCTGGAGGGGCAGGGATCGAGGTGTTTACAATCTTTCCTTGGATTGGGCAGAGGGCTTGATTTATTATGATGATTCTCCCTGAGACCAGATTATTTTATCCTTTGCTTCGTTCAGTTGGGAAGTGCTCACTT